AAGGCCCTATTTACAAATACGTTCACATTCTGAGGTACTGAGAGTTAGGACTTCAACATATGAATTTTGGGGGTGAGGGAACACAATTCAGACCATAATATGCAATGTGCAACCTTTGGTATTGGTTTCTTTCTCTTGCTGTATTTCCCCCGAAATTCATCCAGGAGTATCAATAGTTTGTTTCTTTATATTGCTACTAGAGATACTCTAAACTTAAATATTAAAGACATTGTTAGGGTCTGACCTTCCCCCTGACTCCACATTTATTGTAGAAATGTTTAAAGATATAGATCTCAATTCTTTGGGGCCCTTTGGTCATAACCCTTCCTCCCATAGGAGCTGCTACTTCTGTTAATGTGACCTTCCCCCCATGACTATATTTAGCTGCTTGTGTCTTTTTGAAAATCTGCTCATGAGACAGAGATTATGCTTCATTAATTTCTGATAACATAGTTGGGAAGTCTTCCGCCTGGTATGAAGGGAAGAGGACTAGCTTGAGGAATGACAGTGAGGAAATGCGAACTAACAACAAAACTCCCAGAGAACCCTCATTCCAATGAAGTATTAGGAACACCAGACTGAATTGATCAGCTGTCTAATTTATAGACTGTTTTCAAAGCAGTAAGATTTCATTGAGTTTCAAGCCTAGAGTGTAATGGGCTGAGATGTAGATGAGGTCTAGAAAGCAAAATTACATAAATCAGTGAGGTCTTGCAATTCACAAGAGGCCTAAGGTATATGATTATGTGTTGTGAGCACAAAGGTCTTTCAAATGGTTTAATTGTTAGACTGATAAAGGCATGGACATGGAAGAAATACTTTCTGTATCTTTGTATTTGAAATAACAGTTTGTGCTGGGTCCTCTTCATGGCCCAGCATGTCCTCTCCATCTTTTTTTGAGCATCACAAACATCTCTAAAAGCAACAGCTATACAAGTTCTATTATTGACGTTTGCTGATTGCTCAGTATGAAACCAGGAACCATACTAGGCACCTTATGCAATGTCAGCCCTACAGTAACATTGTGTATTGGCCACAATGATTGTTTCCATGTGAGATTTAGGGACACTGGGGCTCCAAGAGGTTAAGTTAAAATCATATCCACCAGGAAAGCTTGGGAATCAAGAATCAAAATTTGTGTGTTGATTTTTTTCTAATTCTAAATAGTGGAGAGTACTAATAAACAGCAAAAAGAATAAGATTTAGGGGTATCTAGATCCAGGATACAGCAGAGAAGATTCTCAACCACCAAGATGAGCCAAGAAATTGAAAATGTCAATATAAAATCTTCAAGTCTGTGGGCAGCTGCCCTTTATATTCCCTCACACTTCACCTAGAAGGTTGAACCCAGGTGCATGCTGGGTGTTCATCAGTACATCTCTGGATTGCTATCTTAAAAGGGTACACCCCTTCATCCAATAGAAATTTGATTCCAGAAAATGTACATGTACACAACCCTAAACATGTTCACTTAGCCAATACTTATTTCAGGAGATGTTATTTGGCTATTCTAGTGAGTGAATTTGGGCACAACTTATTTCAAAATCTACAGTAACGTTGCCCAACAGAACATTCTGCAACGATCTGTTCTCTATCTGCCCTCTAGCCGCATGTGACTACTGACCACTTGAAATGTGGCCCATGGCGACTCAAGAACAATGGAACTTTACATTTTACTTAATAGTTTTCATTTAAATAGCCATCAGTGTGGTGTGGTTACTGTATTGGGCAGTGCAATTCTAGAGACTAAAGATTTAATTCTAGCATCTATCATAAAATTCTAACTAGACCTGCTCCTCATATTCCCTTCATGTCGTTCCCTGGGCAGGAGGATGAAGAAGTGGGTAGAGAGGGAAGGGGTGGTCGAGTCCAAACGTAAAGTCATTTTCCATGTTTATCTGTCCCAAATTCAAGCTGTGCTTTGTTGACAAAAATTTGGGAAGGTTGCAGATTTGGCAGGCCTGTCTGTCCCCTTGCCTGCATGAATGTGTCAGCACCTCATTAATCTTGGGTTAAACTGTAAAGGCCCTTTTCCCTCCTACCATGGGTCTATTTTTTAAAGGACACTTCAGTGCCCTTTTGCATTTCACAGTGAGATTTTAAAAAATTTATAACTTGCTCTGTGGATTAATTTAAGCCTATAGTTTACTTAAATATATCCCAATCGTTTCCAAATTGAAGTGAGAGAAATTATTTTGGAGATATAGGGGAGTTAAAAATGTATTGTGCCATGAGTTTCTGAGGATTGTATTGGGTGTTTATTTTCTAGAAATTAAAAGCATGAGGAATCTCTGTGTTTTCTTTCTTCAGTTTAATGACTCTTTCAATGAAATGATTTTATTACACATGTGGTCTTGATGATTCTTCTCTTTCCAAGAAAAAGACATAGAGGGTGTAATGTTTTGTGGGTTTTTTGTCCTTAACAGTTTTTGTCATTTTTGTCCAATGTAAGAAGGAGATGAACATGTCTTTAAACAATATAGGATATTTTAAGCCTTAAGCCTGTAGTGCTCTGTCTTACAGGTGCGTGGTGAATTGTCATTGTCGAGAATAACCACTTTTCTGTATTTCCTGGCACTGGAAACAGTTACCGTTTGGGATTCCTTTTATAGTTTCTTCAGCTAACAACTCCAGTGACCACTCAGTTGTGGTCTCGTAGTAAATCAAAATTTCTTTGAAAGAGTCAGCTCTGTTATATAATTATAGGTGTCCTGGGAAGTCATCTCCCTAACTAAAAAGAAAGGCGTATTTCCGTTGTCTCAAATAATACGGATTCTGCCACCACACATAATATTCTCTGAAATAAAAAGAATAGGCCATTTTCCCCTCCTCCTCCTCCTCCTCCTCCTCCTCCTCCTCCTCCTCTTTCTCCTTCTTCTTTTAAAATAACCTACAATTGATGAGACATACACACGAGTGTCAGGCTGTGTCAGATCTGGCTGGTCAATCGTGAAGAGAAAAACCGAGCTGCAAACTGCTCCTTCATACTTACCTCCTCCCATGAATGTCTTGCTCTCGCTGGGATTTGGGGTTTCACGGTGACTAAGGAGAATGTTCTCAATGGTTTACTTTGTGTTTTAATAAAATAGAGTTAAAATAAAATCAGGGGATGGCCTAGCTCCTGCTGGGATCAAGGTGAGGGCCCTAAGGGAGGATTTAGGGGGCCCATGGAAGCCCTCCCTGGGAGGAAACATGACCATAGGCCCAGGTCCTTCCTTCTGCCTCTGGGTCTGACAGACACCAGGGGCTTGGTATGAGAAGCAGGGTCTCAAGTGGGCTCAGGTGAGGGTCTAAAAGGAAAAAAACACCAATGAAATCAGCCCAACCCCATGATTCTATGGAGGCAGTGTGTGCACAGCCCACAGTTGCCACCTTTGAGGAAGCGGGAGGGAAACTCGCCATAGTTTGCCAGGAGGCTTTTAGGTTAAAGTGAGGAGCAGGAGAACTTTTAAGGGTGAGGGGCATGGATGGGTGAAGGGGTCCACACGGGGGCCTCTTGGTCAGGCAGGGCCGGCCATTTGCAGGCCCAGGCCAAGGCCCAGCGCTTTCCCCTCTGCCTAAATCAGGTGATGAAACTGCCCTGTTGCCCAAGACTCTAGAATTCACTGCCCACTCCGGCCAACTCAGAGCAAAGGCTTCCCCAGAAAAGGGGGCCTCAGTGCGTGCCAATTCTTGTAGAGCGTTTCACCTCTCCAGAAGCTAATGCCTCTCGAAACCAAGAACAATTAAAGCTCGAGTCTTCCCAAGCCAACGGGGGAATTGAGCAAAATAAATCAGAAATTCTCAGCTTGGCTCTGGAGGCTCGCCTCATTATGAGAGCAGATCTATTAGCCCTCTTGCCATTGTCTTTCATTTCTCAAGTGAGGTGATTCTAATTAAATTAATCTGCATGTCAATCTATCGGTGATCAATCAAAGAGCCCAGGGTCCCCCCTATGCTGCAGGGTGCTTGCGGCTGACAGGGGCTGATAATGGAGGAAGAAATAAACTGTCGAGCAAAGTTAATTAGTCAACATAATAGGTGGATTAAACGGGAGCCGGCTGATTGCTGTTTCCCCATGTCAGAGCACGAGGTGGGAGCTGAAGCTGCAATTACAGACAATTATTATATTTGGTTGTAAGAGGTCGCATGAATAAACATATCTCTGCGGGTTTCAGTTTTAATCCTCTTCCCCATTTAATGTAAGGAGAAGTGTAGGTCATTTCTTCTCATTGTTTTAGTCAAAATTCCCTGAGAAAAAAACACCTTTCCGGCAAACTGAGTTCAGAATCAGTGTATAAGGTGGCCAGGGTATGTGAATTGTACCCTGTGCCCATGCCACCATTTGGGGGTCAAGGAGAGGTGGGGAGAGCTTTGAAACACAGACCTAAGACTTTTCTTGAGCAGAGATTTTTTTTTTTTTTTGGCAGGGGGCAGAGGGAAGTAGTGGTGATGGAGGCAAGGGGGGCTTTGGTCCGAATGCAGGAAGAAAAAGGTACAAGAATCTCCTAAAAAGACAGCCAGGAGAGCAAGCTGCATCCCAGCTCTCCCTAAAACCTCTCTTTTTTCTTTTCTTTCTCCTCTTAACCCTGACACAGGGGAAGGAGTGGGAAGAGAGGGATATTTTAAAGATTCAAAAGATTTTTTTATTTGCATGATCAACTGTGATATCTGCTTCAGTGTCTAAACTGAAGGGTAATTTAGGTGAAACACAACCACCTTTGTGTAAAAAAATATGCTAATAAAGATCCTCTTGTTAAAATTATGGTTAACAGTGTACCTTCTGCTGTATAACTGTAAACTGTGCAATTTTACTTAAAACTGCATCAAAAGCGTTCCATGCCAAAGACCCACTCATCAATAGCTCCTCTTGTTAGAGTTGTACAGCATAAGCACCAGTTATTATGTGAAATCACGATGCAATTTTCTTCAGCTCCCAGCTGTTATTTATTTAACTTGAGTTTATTACCCTCCGTGCTTTTATATTAAAATGTTCATTCATCTCTCTCTTCTGTCTCCAGGTCGTGGTGTCTACGACAGTCAATGTGGATGGCCATGTCCTGGCAGTCTCTGATAACATGTTTGTCCACAATAACTCCAAGCATGGGCGGAGGGCTCGGAGGCTTGACCCCTCGGAAGGTACGCCCTCTTATCTGGAACATGGTAGGCGAATCATTTTCATTGGTTGACATTGTTACCTTTAACTGTGAACTTATTTGGTTTCTTTCTTCCAACTCCACCACGTTTTCTACCCCATTTCAAATTTCCAATGTCCTGTTGAAGAATGTGGGTGCTGTGTAGTTAAAGACAGGGAGATATCTTTGAGTCTTGCCCTTGCCTGTTGCAGTTTTCTACCCTGGAAATTGGTTGATATTATCTTTCCTTTTTGTTAAGTCAGAAGGAGACCTGGATCCCTGCTTTATTTTAAGCTTCCACTTGACTGACAAATAAAGGCCAAAGCAGGATCACAAAAATCATGACACATTTTGAGCTTACAGTTGACTTGATTGTACAATGAACTCCATCTTCCTTGCTGGTGGTGTATCTCTGTGACTACATACTTAACTGCATTTGGAGATAAAATTTAAAAGCTAGGTTGGAGGCAGTATCTGAATATGCAGCCCAAACTAAATATTTCTCCCATGCCCTGTGCAGACCCTCATCACTACATGGCAGAGCCTACTTTCTGTAGGTAGCCTTTGGTGGGGAGAAATCACATTTGTCTTAAATTTATGGCTAATCAGTTGTGCCTTCGAGTGAACTGGAGGAAACCAGATAAAATTTTAAATGAATAAAAGTGAACGCCACTCAAAAGAACCATGGTACAACTGAGTATATGTGTGAATGTTTCAGCACTACATGTATAGGTAACGTATCATCCATACTTCCATCTGTCCATCTATCCATTATCAATGCAACATCTATCCATTCGTCTTCTCATTGCATCCATCTCTCTGTCCATCCATTTATTCATTTGTCTATCATCCACCTGTCCATCCATTCATCCATCCATCAATACACCCATCTTTCATCCATCCATCCGTCTGTCCGTCCATCCATCCATCCATCCATCCATCCATCCATCCATCCATCCAAGAAACAGTGACTGAGCCTACTGGATAGCAATCACCATGTTAGATTTTCACCATCTGCTTTTTAAACTCTTAATTCATTTCCCTACTTCACTTTCCAATTTGCTAGATCAGCAGGATTCTTTGTAAAACACTACCATACAAATTACCACTGATGGCCTGACTTTTCCATGGGCGTGAGCAGTCCATGATGTAGTCCACAAGGTAGAAATTGCCCTTTCCTGACAGCATCCCAATTGAATGAACACACCACTATCATCATCCTTTGCCTGATTTTATTTGCCTGTGCTTATGGAATACACAAACTGTGCTTTTTATTAATTAGCCAGATGTAACTCTTTCAGAAGGGATTCTTCACTACATCCAGTTTTACAGGCTTTTTAAGGTAAACCATCATCTTTCAAAAGCTGTTACTTTATGGTTTCATTAGTGCTGAGATGAATGGATATTACTTTTTTTGCAGGAGACCATTTGAAACACTTGCTCATGATTACATTCACAGTTCCATTTCTGTACTTAAAATTATTCTGATCTTCACTTTACGGTATTATTGCCTTCTTAATACCTTTGGAGTCACTTAAGGCAATGAAGATGTTTAGGTAAAAGGAAAGAGGAAAAGATAAGTAAACACTAGTGGGCACAGTTTGGAGAGTTCTGGCTTAAAAGCTGAAGTCCTGTTTTTGACTGTGACTGGTTAGTTACTGTCCTGTCTGGGACACACTGAAGTCACTTTGAAATGTGCCAGTCATGGGTTCACATGTGCTCCAAGTACAGACCTTACTCTGCATGCATTCCTGTCCTAGGGAAGCAGGGGAGAGAGCACGGGTGCTAGGTCAATCGTCCCTCCACTGGAAGAACCAACACAAAAGCAGAAAACAACCAGGTAGAAAGGACGCCTCTTGGTGTGGAGGTCTGGAACATTATTTCACATCATGATGAGTTGGAAAGAGTCTTATAATTGGAGTCAGGGGACCTAAATTGAATTTGTAGTTTCACCTCTACCCTTGGTGTGACCTTGAACAAGTCATCTTATATCTTTTGGTATCCTTAGTTTCCTTCTTAGTAAAACAAAGGTGATGATCTTCAGGGTGGGGGATGGGATAGAAAAATGGCTACCCCCTTAGGCTGGGGCTGGTCACACATACACACACACACACACACACACACACACACACACACACACACACGGGAAGTGGGCTGGGTGGAGACTGCGGAACAAGAGACATGCTCCACCGCCCCAGCCCCAGGCAGTTGTCACCAAGGGGAGTGAAAGCCCAGTGGGGCCAGATGTTCCATTTTGGCAGGACTTTTAATTTTTAATTGTTGGTAACTAATTACAAAATTTTAAACCCTGGAGAGAGAAGAGGGGGTAAAAGGCACCAGGAGGAATATAGCCAGGGGCTGACAATTTGGAGTCTCTATGCTTCTCCCAGCTTAATATTTTTATTTCTAGGCATACACATTAACATTTTAGTTATGATATTATATTATCCTAAGCTTTTTATTTTTTATTTTTAAAATCCTCACTTGACTATATGTTTTGATTGATTTTTAGAATGAAAGGAAGAGAGGGAGTAAGAGAAAGAGAAACATCGATGTGAGAGAAACATCAACGGGTTGCCTTCCATTTGCACCCTGACTAGGGATAGAATCTGCAACCTAGATATTTACTCTGACTGAGACTCAGACCTGCAACCTTTTGATGTCTGAGATGACGCTCCAACTGACTGAGCTACCTGGCCAAGGCTTTTTTATGTTTTAAAGACAATATTTTATTCATCTGCTTCAGTTTAGCAGTACACAACTGGCCGTGTTATTATTAGCAACTGATTTAAAGAAATGATGACATTTTACTATTTGTTAATGGTTAATCATTGTTGAGGATGTGGGGGTGTCCTACGTCCTTTAGCTAGGGGGCCTCCCGCTCTCCAAAGCCTTACTTCACTTCTCTCCAGAAGATTCAAAGGATAGACAGCCCCTTAAGGCTCTTAGTAACAACAGTGCCATGGAAGTCTGCTTCTTTGTAGAATGAATCAACCAACCATACATAACCACCCACTCATGTGGACACTTCAAGTTGATAGCTACATACATATCTACTCAGCAAAGGGTGACGATGGGCTTTCATTGGTGGTGTGTGGGTGTGGGCCTATGATGCTAACTTACGTTTGATTTTGGGTATGGTAATGCTTTATCTGGCCATTGAAAAATCCTATTAGCAATTGCCCTTTTGAAGACTTACAAAACCACTCCCCACTCCTTGGCCCCTCCACTTCAGCAGCTACTGCAGAGTGTGACTACCAGGTATTTTTGCCTCTTAGGTGACCTGTAGGAGCCTTCGTTTTCCCTCATTCTGGGCTTTTCACCTTCTCATTTACAGGTAGCCTGAATTATTTTGAGCTGCTGCACATCTCTATTTATATCCTGCATGTCAGACAGTTGGAGGAAAGTTCCCTTTCTTGGCTCAAATTTTTCTGTGAATGAGAGAAATAGAGACCATGCTTCACACTCATGCAGTCTCCCTGTGTGACCCACACACTCACCGCCCTTGTGCTCACATAACTGTCCCTTTTTTTCAAGTAAAAGAGTTGCCAAAGGCAAATTTATTTACTGGAATCTTGTGTGATCCACAGAGGGTGAATGAATCCCTGCTTGCTGAAGCTGTTGGTAATTGCTTTCAGCCTCTTTTTTCTCATTCATAAATACTGAGATGTACGGGAGAGTTTAAGGTAGTGAGGTTTCCTCCTTAAGCAATAGCTTTATGGGAGAGGTCTGGTTGGAGAGAGAGGCAGCCTCAGGACTTAACTGCTCTCAGTGTTCCAATTTTTGAAAAAGTGCAGGCATAGGGCCAGACACTGAATTGTCGCCACCACAGTTGTGTACAGCTCTGGCTTGTGTGCCTGCCCTGTGTCCCCCTCACGTGGGCAAATTCCTGGGACTATGCGGTGGGGATCTTCGAAGGGCTTGGCGAGTGTTTACATTGCCCTTGTTCTCCTGACTTTCAGGTTGTGTTTACTTGGGTTTAAGGCCAACTGTGGCATTAGTTTCTTTATCTTTTCCACCCACATGGCAAAATGCGGTGCCCTCACAGAGAGCTACAGTGCAGGGCCCCTGTGAGTTTGCACGCGCTAACACTTTATTACCTAATGATCTAATATGCAACAAGGCAAAGAGCTGGTGCTCATCATCCTGACATCGGAGCCGGGAGAAGTGACTAAATTGCTTTATGTACCATTAGCGCTCGCAGCTGTGGTGAACTCACTGGCAGCGTTTATGCAAATGCTAGTGAAGACACTCCAGTGGCTTTGTCAGGAAGCCGTCTGACAAGCAGTTTAAATGCTCATTTTTTTTTTTAAGGGGACTTTAAAAATTTTGATGTGCATGTGTTTTTCTCACTTCCTCCTTTTTTTCTTCCCTCCACTCTTCCCCCTTTACGGACTATTTATTCCTGATCACGGGGGATGTCTGAGCGGGCAGGGAGTTAAGGCCGGAGTAAGTTGTTCGTATTTAGGGATATTTATTATTGTTGTGCATTTGTGTTGTTGTATATTTCATATTTATTTTCAAAATAAGTAGAACTGTGGTTATTCAAGACTTTTTAGAAGATGAACATTTTAATGTTCATGAGTTCTTACCTGGGGTCCTACTTGGCTTCTTGGCTCAAATACAGATGCTTTAACACACCCCTACTTTTTAAAAATGGAAAACGATGGACATTTAGCTTTTGTGGGCATCAGATATGAATGAATTAAATTTCCCTTCAATGTAATTATACAGATTGAGATGTGAAGTATACTTGTGCCAAGATCCGAAAGTAAACAGAATCAAAACAAAAGTGGGGTTTGGTCAAACTATATAAAAGCCCTTGTAGAAGAGTTGTGTCAGAATCACAGGGCCTTCTCCTTGCTAAGATTATGGCATTAGAGAAATAGAATCCCATTTGCCCCACCACTAGTTAGCTCTGACCTTTCCACTGTATTGTCCCCTCCCAGCTGTCCCTGACAATATGGTGTTATTCTTGCTCTTTAGCGTTTGACCTTCTTTAAT